TAAAATCGAAGCGCGTTTCATGCGCCGCATTATGAACGTACTTACTTCCAAAAAAAGGTGACAGCGAGTTTAGAAGCAAAGAAAGATTGGATAAAACAAGAAGACTTTAGGAAAAGTAAAACCAACTGGAATATCGCTCGTGAATTTTCGAACTGACGATGGAGCTGGACTCCGAAACGTTTCCTTTAAAGATACTATGAATTTTTGTGGTGATTTCTTTGCTTTTAAGTTCTTAGAAATACATGATTTGCAAATAGTCAGATATTCTTAAATTACATATTCTTTAAAAATCTGTTTGTCTTATCTTGGGTTTCTGTAAATTTCATTAACAAACTGCATTCCCCTATTTATTGATATGAATTTGAAAATTTAACACCCCTTATCAATAATATTAATAGTTTTTAACTCTAAATTCCACATTTAATTCAATCGGCCTTTGCTCGTAAAAGAAATAACTTATAAAATGTCTTGCAACTTTGTGACGTGTGGGAAAAGAAGCGGTAACAAAACGGATTAAAAATGGCCACAATCGCTAGCTGCGTCAAGTCCATTGCTGAACACTGCTTGCCCGTCAGTTGGTGGACTAATATCGAAACGCCTTTATGCACCAAATTAATTATTAACGAACACACTTCCAAGAAAATGGTGAAAACGAGTTTAGAACCAAGGAAAGATTGAAAAATGAAGACTTTAGGAAAAGAAAAAGCAACCGAGATATCGCTCGAATGAGAAATAGAAACAAGTACAGACAGGATATTTAAAGAGATCACTTAATCTCTCTCCCATCGTCATGTTAAGTTGTATGGGACACGGTTGAGCTATAGCTGAAGCGAGGGCAGTGACAAGCCACGTACTACGTTCAATAAATCATCAGAAAAACTAGTAAGTGTGCAAATGTACTACGTCTATAACCAGTAATCATGCTGCGCATAAAGCTATTCAATAGTCAGATCTTGTACATCATGGCATTCATACCAGAATCAAATCAAGTACTATACCACTGTCAACGTGAAAGAATATCTATTCGTTTTCAATCCCAACCTAATTAAACTTTAATTAAATTCTTTAGAAGCCTTGCCTCGCTCCTCTGAGTCAGATGTGCAATTGGTCTCAAGTTGGTCGACCGTCAGCACTCGCCACGGGTTGAACATAGCGGAGGATGACCGTTGCCAAAAATACTCAAGACACCCTGTCTCTCCGACAGGCTCCGTGGCATGCGCGTCGAAATCTCACACCAGTACGGAATGGGTTCAATTCCATTACGCGAGTGTTCGCTAATGCGCATTGGGCACGTAATATTAATGAAAGCAGTAAGAACATCTTCGCTTAGCGCTAGTCTACGCGTCGGGCACACTCTTAAGGCCCGTTTACACTAGTGGCAACGACATGCGCTTTGAGTCGTTTTCTGCAGTGCCTCACCGCGCACAACCGTTTACACTACTTTTGTACTCGGTTGTTTGAGACCGCGCGCNGAAGTGATTCTACCCGCAACCGACTTCCAAATGTAAAAAGTGAATAGTATGTATGATAATTCATCTACAATTAGCTTGCAACAATGTACAAGCAAGGCAGTTTCGATTATTTTGTGTTGTGGTTATACTGCCGTCGCAATGTATCGTGAATATATCACCTGCCGCCAGAGACACATTTCAATCCCACTACACAGATGAAGAAAGAAAATTGTTAGAAGTTAGTATGTGTGAAGTTCCTTTAAGTTTATTTTCAGATTTCCGAGATATTTAGATCGCATGTAAATTTTGTAAATGCCAACGTCCAATAGTAAGATATTCGTTTAACTTCTGGTGGGATAAAATTTAATAAATATCTGACGGAAAAGTTGGGAAATAGCATATGTGTGCGTGTGCGTAGTTTCACAGAAGCGGATGTGAAATTTCGAATATTATCTGAAGTAAGTGCTAAGCGAGCGCAGAAATGTCCGCTGTCTTATTTGTGTAATTTGGAGATATGATATTTTTGCGAAAGATTTTGTTTGAATAGAGAACAGAGAAAAATAAAAAATTAAGTGTTTCTGCATACAATAAAGTTTGTAAACAATTTAAGAGGAATAAAAATTTGTATACCTAAACGTGTTTGTATTGATCATGTCTTAAGAAAAGTTTTACTGTTTCTGGTCGATACGGATGAAACGACGAATAATATTATTATTAATGCAAGAAAATTAAAATTTTTAAATATTTCTGTCCTGAAACGTCTCATCTCAAACGAACGTCATTTGTAATCAAACCAACTTGATCAAAAAATGCTTCTCAATACGTAAAAATTTATATTGTAGCAAGCTCAGGCCTTGTATGTATCCTTACTTTTAAAACCAAATAACGTATTGTATCCAATAAAAAGCCTTGCAGTGTTTGTAATAACCATCCGGCGTTCGCTCAGCATTCTAACGTTCTCGTGAACGTTACCAGCGCTGTTGAGCTACAAGAACCCTGATTTAGAACTGGACTTAGCAGTTGAGGACAGGAGTTTTACTCCTCGACATGATCTGAGAAGTTTTACGTAGTTTGCTTATATATTAACATCTGATCAATTCTAGTACCCTTGTGCGCTTAATCTGATCGATTTCTTCGCTTTATGTGCTGCTCAAATTCAAGTGTTTTATGCGCTTAATAAATAGTGGAGTCTAATGAAGAAGGATTTCGAACAGGGTTGAGGATATGAGAGATTCAGTCAATATAATTGTTTCAATACGAAACAAACACGAAAAATATTCAAAAAATATTGCAAAAAAATATAAAAATTTACCGTGATTCGATTTCACGTGAATGATGGCTTTTTACATAATACATCGTCTGAATAAGTGACATTCATCTCAACCAAGGCTCGATTTCAGAAGGTCTTTCGGGGGGAGGGGAACCTACATGAGTATTTCAAACCTTGAGCGTTGATACGACAAAAGATGTACATTTCCACTTACACACACACATACACGTGTTAACACTCATTATCGCATTACATAATACATCGTCTGAATAAGTGACATTCATCTCAACCAAGGCTCGATTTCAGAAGGTCTTTCGGGGGGGGGGGAACCTACATGAGTATTTCAAACCTCGAGCGTTGATACGACAAAAGATGTACATTTCCACTTACACACACACATACACGTGTTAACACTCATTATCGCATTCTCTCATTTATGGAAAAAAGGCGCTATTGTGCTCGTCATGTCCATCCGTCCGTCTGTCTGACCGTTTATCTGTCCGTGCCTTCACGTTTTCGTCGACGAGAAAAAGCGCTCTCTGTCACTCGCTGCAGTGAGTACTGAGTTATTATTTTTATTTAGCCGTACTTAATCAACGTATTGTCTGAAACGGGAATAATATGGTATCAACTGTAAAAAATTATATTACTGAAGTACCTGTATACATTGGTAATCAGCAAAATCTAAAGAAATTAATTCATTTCACGAACTCCGACCAACTCAGGTCCCCGAAATAGAATGTAGAGCCGTTTCTCTGCCGTATATTTTGTGATGACCCCGTATTGGCTGTCCAGCTAGGAGAGCCTAAGACCTCGTGAATGAAGGAAGTGATGTTTCCTTGCCGCGTGTTCACACATTGCCCGTATTTGTGGCAGTGGAGAGCCTGCGAGAGCGAGTGAACACACATATTCAAAAATGTGACTAAACTTCTGACATCAATACGTAAGAAGGCCCGCGTATTCAAGGCGCTTGAAGTGACTCGACACATCTCATGGTCGAGCATTAACGCGTTATCCTGTTGATTAAAGTCACTAACCGTGAAAAACGAAGTTTTTGAAAGGTACAACGAAACCTTATTGAATAGTAAATTTGCTATGTCCCTGGGTAGAAAAACGTATTAAACGGTATTAATATTATTCTCAATCACGACACGCCAAGAATTGCTTCTTTTTAGCACATTTTCTCAATTATGGAACAAATGCACTATTGTGCTCGCCATGTCCGTCTGTCTGTCTGTCCTTGACTTCACTTTTTCGTCGACGAGAAAATGCGCTCTCTGTCACTCACTGCAGTGAGTACTGAGTTATATTTTTTAAATCCGTCGAAGATGTTTGCATGCGTGCAAACATTATTCTGCATGGAGTGGAAGAGCAAGAGCAAAATCTACCTACATGCCACCAGCATTGAGCCAGTAGATTTTCCAGTTCCATCCTGCCAGCATCGAGCCAGCAATTTTATTCACTTGCATGCTGCATACATCAAGCAAAATTTAATCAGTTACATGGTGCTTGCATCGAGCCAGCAATTTTATTCACTTGCATGCTGCATACATCAAGCAAAATTTAATCAGTTACATGGTGCTTGCATTGAGCCAGTTAGTTCCTTTTTTGCATGCGTGCAAACATTATTCTGCATGGAGTGGAAGAGCAAGAGCAAAATCTACCTACATGCCACCAGCATTGAGCCAGTAAATTTTCCAGTTCCATGCTGCCAGCATCGAGCCAGCAATTTTATTCACTTGCATGCTGCATACATCAAGCAAAATTTAATCAGTTACATGGTGCTTGTATTGAGCCAGTTAGTTCCTTCAATTGCATGCAGATTCCAGCGTGCTGAAATAACTATAGCGCTTGCCATCCACTATTTGTATTATAAAGAATGGCAATCAAACGTGACACCTCGATAAATTCTGAACGCTTTTAATTACGTAGTAAACTGTGGCAACATCTGCTCAGTTGACGTACTTGATCTTCGCGCTCTATACTCGCACAACGTTTGAACTTCTTAGCCTTCAGATAAAGTGGGGTTGAGCTTAACCGGGTTAGTGATTAAGATGTGTAATGGTCGTTCACGATGGTAATTCTTCAGTTAATGGTTGTGTTCGTCTACAATGTTTAGTTCATGAGTTAGAAGTACCGCTTGGCTGTTCCCATGACAGGCCATACTGAAGTGCATGCAATAGCGTATGACGGTGGAGCGGGGTGGCGAAAGTGTAGCTTTTACCATTGATTTTATAGGTCTGATGCGAATCTGTTAATTAAAGTCAAAGTTTACTTAGTAATTTTATTCCTTGGAAAGGTGTGAAGAGAGGAAAGTCATGTATGTGTATTCTGAAACTCGCTATTTGGTGCTTACTGTGGCTGGGGATGCGATCGTCGTCAGATTCTGGGGGACATGCTGGACAATCCTCTTCATTAAGCTACGTCATTGGTTCGGTAAAAATTTCGTGATTTCATTTTTCAATGACATACCATGTACTTATCTGTGACGATAGACTGGGCCCTGATGTTTGAATGGTTACAATTGAATTACGATTAATTGAAGTCCTAGTCCACCACGGGAATAGTTATGGTTAATATTGCACTTGAATGGTGGTTGTCTGATAGTTTTCAGTCGTTAGAGCTTTTTGAGCATTTGGTCACCTAGCTGAAGTTGGGTCATTAAGCTGGAATTCGTAGTTACTCTTCAAGTGTTCGGGATATTGTTTCATTAAGACTGCAAATGATAGTAAATCGCTTGTTAGTTTTAAATTGCTTGAAAGATTCGCTTGATCCTTGGTTGGCATTAAAAGGCTCGTAATTGAAATACGTTGCATGGTTGATTGACATTGACAAATCCATTTCAGGTCAAGAAGATATCGCCCTCCGTCGAACAAATATTGATTTTTCTGATAATTGAGCAAGCCAATACCCATGCCTCGGAGGAACATGATCATTAACATCGCAGGCTCTGATGAGAGCGATGATAACCTCGTTATAGCGCTTCAAGAACCTGACTGGCCTGGTCTCGACGATTTGATGGAGAGGATGGAGCTCATGAACAGATATTTACCAGAAGAACATAGAATACCACCGCCTGTTGCCCTGAATGTCGAGGTGAGGAGACCCGGGCTTGCGGACCGGACAGCTCCTCCACGCAATAGACGGAGTCGGAGTTTGTCGGCATTAGACTCCCGCGACGCTCTGAACCCCGTGGCTTTGAAAGACGTGGAAGATTTCTTGGACCGCGAGCTGCGGCGTATGCGACGCAGGAAAACGTACCGCCGCCGCCGTCGCTCACGTCCTCTGCGCGCGACCAGATATCGCCCCCGCGCACAAGTGCAGGAAATCGCATTACGCCCGAATGTTGGGGTGCGATCTAAATTCATCATTGGCATCGTCCTAGCTGCGACCGTCGCCCTTTCGTGCATTTTTTTCTTCAAGCTCTCTGCTTCAATCATGGAGATTTTTAGTCCCTAATGTCACATCGATATTAGCTTAGGTCCTTAGGAGTTTTAATCAATTTAATCATGACTGCGGTAATTTTATGCATCTAGACGTTGGCTTTCCAGGAAGCTTTTACATACCTCGGATTAATTTTGATTATAATTTTCCGTGGTTTTGACTTACTACTGTAATGCGTGACCAAACTGTTTGATTGAACGCATTTATCCATGATTGTAGTAAATTTGACGGAAAATCAAAATTTTCTGTCTTCATTCCCTATGCGTGCGAGCGTTCAAGCTTTCATGGTCACTGACCACAATTGTCCAAATTTTGAGATTCTTCCCTTCAACATTGAGAAAAAACGTGGTTGACTCCCTATGGTACCAGGCAAATGACATTCTGTCCAGAAACCTTATGTCGAGGGTACCGAATTTTCAATTCATTGGATTCTTAGAGGGTCTAAAAGCAAATTTCTTGATATGCGTCAGAAATTCCAGCCACATATTTGACCTCATGACCTAAGTAAGGGTACAAACTCAAGAGCATCGCCTGGGCACTGCAGCGAGTCATCAGAGAGGGCGATACAACAACGCCTGTAAATGCAGCAACTAATCAAGAGTGGTGTGTCGTAGCACATTTCTTACTATCCAAGTGGAAGATGGCTAATTTTTAGTAATTTCGCCGCTTTTATATCGCTGAAATATACGTGCATAATGGAACCGGTAAACTCTGAGGCTAAGTGCGAAGAGAGGTGCGTTGCCTTGATTGTTTGGTTCGGAGTAACTTACACAGTGGAAGCAGGTTTGCCCGCGCGGGCAACCTGCTCCAACCTGCCACAAGAATGAAAATAGGATAATAATGTAAGTGTTCACAGTAAAAACCTGTACGAATAGGCTTCTGTATTCTATGGTTTCAGGCGCCAGCATGAGCAAGTAACCAGCACGCTGGCAACCTGCTTTCACTGTGTGCGTACCCTAACTTGCCGAAAGCTTGATTGAATAGAAAACTTGGGGAAAAGGAAGAAATTGTACAAGTATACAGTTTACTTTTTAGTTTGGGATATATTCAAAGAGTCTTGCGACGACTTTCGATAGAAATGGATAAAATAACGTTATAATATTTGTCAATTGAAGTAATTAGATTTTTCAGTTTTGGACGTCCCATCTTAACGCGAATATCATTTTCCGTTTCACCTCGCAATATGATAAATTTATCATGCAACAAGCTGTCATTTTATCCTAGAGGCGTTGAAAACCAAATGACGCATAATAATTCAAAAGCCGCGAAGTATCTGTAATAAACATTGGTTACCTCCCCGGAATATCATTTGTTGTGATACTGTCGTTTTGGCGTTCTAAGTATGGAGATCGTTCACCATTTATAGTTGCCGGCGCTGGTGAACTACTACAACCTCTATTTAGAATTGGACTTTGACTTGGAAAAAGTTATTCGAGGAGTTTTTCATTGACTTTTAAGATATTTACGCCTTATAAATACTAATATTATTTTCCACATAATCCGATCGTTTTCATCGTTTTATGTGCTGCTCGAGTTTCCTTTTGTATGAATCATAACGCAAGAGAGTCTAAGGGTACGTACACAGTGAAAGCAGGTTTGCCCGCGCGGGCAACTTGCTCCAACCTGACACAAGAATGAACATAGGATAATAATGTAAGTGTTCACAGTGAAAACCTGTACGAATAGGCTTCTGCCGGCAACCTGCTTATACCTATTTACCGGAATGTACTGCACATTCGTATCTGCTCAACCTGCTTGGCAAATGGTCATTTTTGAAGTAGTTGTACCTTTAAACCCTCCATTTCGAAAAATTAACACGAACAAAAAAGTCTTAGAATTCTGTTTTACACAGGTGTACCAAGTTTCAAAGTGATCCGTCCGTAAATAAAAAAGTTTTTTCACCACGTAGACGCTCCTCTCAAAGGTTAGCATTTTTGCCTGAAGAACGGCAGTAACCATAAACCCTTTCAATTTCAGCTGGTTCCCTGCTTCCTCTGTGAACCTCTCGCGCTTGTTTCAGGCGCCAGCCTCAGCAGGTAACCAGCACGCAGGCAACCTGCTTCCTCTGTGAACCTCTCGCGCTTGTTTCAGGCGCCAGCCTCAGCAGGTAACCAGCACGCTGGCAACCTGCTTTCACTGTGTACGTACCCTAAGAATATATAAGGATTTTGAAATGCAGGTTGAGGATATATATGAGAGATCCGGTCAATGCGAAAAAAAGCAAGAAAAATTATTGCAGAAAAGAATTACGGTGATTTTATTTTATGTGAATGCTTACTCTATAAGGCATCACGCATTGTCAGAATTGAAGCTAAACTCGTACCTTAATTAATAATATCAATATATTAAGTTAGTTAATATCAGAAGTGCGTCAGTAAGATTAAACCCAAAAGAGTTCATTTCAAACCTCGTGCGTAGATAACTCAAACGATGTATAAATACACTTACTCGCTGCCGTGTTAACACTGACGAGTAATAATTATTATTTGAAGAATGGTAGTTCATTCTAGCTTGATTTCTCATTATTATAGAATTCATTTTCACAGGAGAACGAAAGTTCTACCATTATCATTCGAAATTTATTAGTGCGATATTTACCAAGGCATGCTCCACAAGTCCTTAATTTTTGGTGGCTGTTTTATGAAAATTGCATTACAAATTGAGCCATGTATAATCAACGTATAGTTTCTGGAATGGTATTACGGGTGCTCTGTATTTGTGATACTGGAGAACCTGAGACCACGTGAACAGAAATGTTAATAAAGACTAAAAAATATAACTCGGCACTCACTGCAGTGAGTGACAGAGAGCGCATTTTCTCGTCGACGAAAACGTGAAGTCACGGACGGACATACAGACGGACGGACATGACGAGCACAAAAGTGCATTTTTCCCATAAATGAGAAAATGCGCTAACAATCGCTCTATATTTGAGGCATTACAGTAATCTTGGTACTTTAAATGTGTGGGCAAGCAGCCCCGCGTATTCAAGACGATGTCCAGGGGCCATACTTTCAAAACTCGCTAAGTGAACGTAAGTACTTACGCTCTATTTTCTTGTCTATGATTGGTGGATTTTACTTGGAAGGCCGTCAATGATTGGCTGATGAACTTACGATCTCTTAACTTTTTTTGAATGTATAGGCCCTGGACTCTTCACATAACACATCTTATGGTTAACGCGTTATATTGTTGATTGAAAGCACTTTGTAAGAATGATGGAATTTCCGAAAATGTTGGAAAGTGATACCTGATCAATAAAGAAATATGATATGCTCCTGGGAAAAACGTTATTATTTTCAATCAGGACACGGGAATGACTGCTCTGTTTTTTCCCCAAATTAATTGAAGGTTATTTCATACGTGCAGAATCATTGTTCTGCAAGGACTGAAAAAAAGTAAATACATGTTGCCTGCATTGAGTTACTTACTTCATCCAGCTACATGTTGCTTGCATTGAGCCTGTTAGGATTTTCAGTAAAATGCTGCCAGCATTGAGCCAGGTAGTTCATCCAATTACATGCACAATGCACATTCTAGCACGTAGAAATAACCATAGCGCTTTCCAGCCACAAATTTTCTACCTATTAAGAATGACAATCAAACGTTAATTACGTCTCAACAACGTCCGAACGCTTGTAACTACATAAGCGATAAACTGTGGCAACATCTGCACACGTGACATTTTAGATCAACGTACACAAAATGCGCACAACGATTTTAACCGCCTAGCTGTCGGGTGAGTGGGGCTGCTGTTAGAAGGGTTGGTAAGATTATCGACGTGTGACTTGCATGATGACGCTCCTGGTAATTTTTCAGTGAAAAGGTCAGACTGGCAGTAAGCAAGTCGGAAATCATTACGTTTATGCAACACTCACAGGATTAGCCACTGATGTAACACGATTACAACTGAATTTAGACTCTTAAGTTCACTTTCCACAATGGTAATCTGTGTGATAAGTTTTAAGCATGGAAGGTTTTGGGCTGATGGCTTGCATTAGGTGAAGTTTTCAGAGTATGGTCTCCTAGCTAAATTTTGGTCAAGCACCTACTAGATTTCATCAGTCCACTCTAATTTTCAGGCAAAATGGTGCATTAGTGAAGGGTAAAGTTTTGAATGGGTTGATAGTTGGCAATAGCCCAGAATTTAATTTGAAAACAGTTGACAGAAAAAAGCAGGCAATTTATATTATTTTATTCATGACTTCTTAATATTAAAAACTTAATTTCAGGTTCGGAGGACAGCAACCTTCCTCGAACAGTTTGACATCTTAAAGAAACTTGAACTAGCCAAAAACCATGCCTGTATGGGATTTGATCTTCGACTCGTCAGACTCTGACTCGCCTGATGAGAGCGACAATAACTACGTTCAAAGGCTTCTGAACGTGATCAGGCTTGGTCCCGACAGTTGGATGCCGTCCATCAACAGGAGATTCAACTTGGGAGAATACAGGAGACCGCATGGTGTCCGAAATGCTCAGGGCCTCAGACCCGTACTCGCGGAGCGGACAACTCCTGCCAGCAAAAGACGGAGTCGGAGTTTGTCGGCACTAGACTCCAGCGACGCCCTGAACCCCCTGGATATAAACGACACGGATGAACCCTTGGAACTGGAGCGGTGGCCCCCGCGAAGTTGCCGGTGCTACCACCTCTCACACCCCCTGCGTGACACCAGGCGTCGCCCCGGCGGCTATATGCAGGATATCGTGGCAACCACGAGTGACGAAACTGAATCTTTATTTATTTATTGCCTTGTATTTGCTGCAATAGTTACTCCTTTGTGCATTCTTTTCTACAAGCTCGCAACTTCGATCATAAATTTTTAGACCCTAGTCTCGTGTTAATTCTGGTTTAGGAGTTTTAATCAATTTAATCTTGACGGCGGTAATTTTATGCTATCTAGACGTTGGTTTTCCAGAACGCTCTTACCTACCTCGGATTAAAGTTGATTGGATTTGTTTTTGGTTGTGAATTTCCGAGTAAAACGTGCAACTTGTTCTTGGTTGACTGTACTATCCATGAAGGGAAATCTTCTGTTTAAGACTAGATACCGGATGCGTGCGAATACTAGTTTTTATGGTCGCTCGTCGGGATTGCCCTAATTAAGAGATTCTTCACTCTAACAATTCAGAACTGTTGTGATTTACTTTATTCAGCAACACTTGAACTATAAAAGTAACCTTGAATTAGCTACAAATTATCGGTTCATTGTACGACGCATTTTTGAAGTGTCCAAAGGTTGGGCTCTCCTTCCATGTCTAGAATTTCGCCCACTGGGCAATAACTCGGGAGCATGTTTTTGGGCTCTCCAATGATTCGTCAGAGTGATGCGTGCCAATACTCCGATAAGGTGAATCAAATACTCTAGATGCAAGTACTCGTGTATGTGATACGTTTTATCCATGTGGTAGACTGAGTTTCTATTAGCTGATTTGCTCACTAATATCCCTTAGCTTTCCGAGCATAATGAAACTATAACTCCTGTTAAAACCCTTTGCTATGCAGAATTTTTCTCAGCTTTGCGCAAATCAGGCCTCTTTTTCTATTTAGATTACGGTAAACGTAGAATATAACGACTTGTTAATAAAACTTGAAAGCGAAACTAAAATCTAGACGCAGTGCTGAACGGATCGTTGCTGGGGAGGAAGGCTGTAAAAATTGAGAAACTCTGGAAGTGAATTGCACCAATTTCCCTTTTCCGCGAGCGTCTCAGCCTTACTGAGGGACGGGTGAAGTATTGACGGGTATTATTTGGCCCTTAGGTTAGGGTGATCAGGGAGGATCGAAACCGCTTTTGCGTTACCGATACATATCAATTTCCAGAAAGTTCCATTTCCTTTTATTAGCGTTAGTTTTTTTCGTTCGATGCACGCCGGTTCATAGGAATTCTCACTTAGAGTACGGTAACTCTAAAATCATCCAAAAAGCTATTATTGACCATATTCGGTGAAACCGTAATTGATACATAGATTTTGAAATTGCTCGAAATCGGCATCTCCTATTAAAATGGGAACGTAAACAGATTCGATTCTTAAGAGGAGCTTTTAAGGAGCAAAGCTTATTTCGTGAACGTCTTTCATATGATTATAAATTTCACCAAATTCAGAGCTATCGTTGATCAGTACCATTAAGCCACAATAATAATCGGTTTGGTTTTGTTGGGTCGATCGTTAGTGAAGGGATGTCAGCAAGGCGACCCCATCGTGGCTTCACTTCTACTTGGGAAAAGCTCGAGCTTCGTCGCCATCCAGATCATGATAGCGAAATCTGCTATATGTATGCAGAGTTTTTGTACAGCCTGACCTCTATTGTACGGATATATGGACTATAGGTATTAAGTGTGGAAATTTGGTTGCCATGATTAGGTATAAATATTTAGTTCCACAACGGTCGCGTTTGTGAGCGTCAAATCATAAATAATTCACACCTAAATTCACATATTGGAATTCAAATCATCCCAGCCTTGACGAAATAAAATACAATTCTTACTGAAACGAAGTGAAAGCCTGATTAATCGAAAATGTGGTGAAAAAGGATTCAGAAGTTCTTGAATATTGATCAACATAAATGTGAACCAGATTTTTGAAATCATGTCAACCTACTTCCATAGAGCTGACAATATGGTCATTTAATGGAAAGAGAAATAATAGAATAGTAGAAAACTAACTTATGCTAATAGTAAAGTGAATGAAAGAATATACGAGGAATGTAACTCCCGCAGTTGACCATCCAGAGGGGTCACACAGCTAGGGTACGCCCCAGACCTTGACCTTCTCTCTCATCCCAGAAATTCTTACATCCCGACCTGAGGGAGGATCATCCCGAAATGAGGGTGGATCCTCAAAGTGAGGGCGACCCCGACCCTCCTACGAGGTAATTACCCCTCGATCGGGCGCGGCTGCCAGAGGGTCATCGGCAATTATGAAAATCGCGAGTTTTTACTGCTGTCGTGTTACACTGGAAACTAATCTTCCGTATACGGCGCAAATATTGTTATATGGTGCCTTGTATTCGAATTTTTAAAAAATTAGTTGGTAGGATCGTTATGTTGGCGTTTCCCTCTTCTGCTTGCCGCTTTTTGTAAAGCATCACGTAATAATTTTATTACCTACAAAAATCGAATAAAAATATACGATCATCTGTACAGTTCTTTCACTATTTGATAATCGCTCAACTTTTGAGTAAGTAAACTCAGAATTTTTCATAAAGGGAGGAATCGTTGTTTCGAGCGTAGTTTCACTTTCGCCGTTTAAGCAAAAACTAGAAACGACTCAAGTTACCCCTCCGCCCGCCGGCCTTGCTTGCCATGATGGATGGGCCCCGGCAGGTCCTGGGCAAGGTTGTCGTCATCACATCCTTTATCCATGCAACTGCCAGCATTTATTTCTCTGTGGGAACGCTATGCATCATGTTTTTTTCTGCCTACCGACATTTTCATGAAGCATGGATCTTCAGCAGCCTCTATGGTAGTCTTCTTTCAATATCGTCTCATAATACGAAGAGTGTTTTCAACGTACTTTAACCTTCTTTAAAAAAATTGATATTTGCAAAACAATTTGTTCACTTGAAGGGACTTGCTTACCCAGCTTTTCTACGTCATTGCAATAAATATGGAGGCATTTATCGCATGTCGGACCTACTATGCTAGCCATTGTCCAAGAAGCTTGCAGCCTGATAAGACAGTTTCGTACAGAACACTTCGAGACTGCATGAAACTTCCAGCCATGGATCAAGTCGTGTATCATATTCTCTTCCTACCTTTAGTAGGATATTTAAATCAGATCATCGCCTTATGACTAATGCTTGACATATTTGTGAAGGTTGGTATCGAATTACAAGTTTCTAGTTTTGCTATCAAATTAGATCGATGAACGGCTAAATTACTAGTTCAGTGTAAGCGGCATAAACGGAAAACTGAAAGCGCATTCCGGGATTCCTAGTAACGAGTAGCACAGTAAGGCGGTACAACGGGAGAAGAGTGGAATGGTTCCCATTTGCAAGTCATTATATCCGATATTAATTGACGAGCGAGAATTGCTCATATGGAACTTACGCTGCCGCTTGGATGAAAAGAAATCTCGCCACGACATACCACACCTCGCGAGTAATTCAGTCAACCAAACTGGAGTGCTACTTCGTCACGCTTCATGCCCGTGAAAGATTCCAGTGCCCGGGACTATTTTGGAGTTTGTGCCCCTAGGTTCGAAGGGTGAACCATATCAGGCTAGAATTTCAGAGCCTCTGAAGATAAACGGGAAAGAATCCAATATAGGCAGTAGTGGCCAGCTGTTGTGAGAGCTCGAACGTTTAAACGAACACTGAATAAAGCCTGAAGCTTGAAATTTTTTCCTAAGGTTAGTACAATTTAGGAGGAATAACTTTAGCCATGGATAGTTTTGTCGGTATTACTCTGAAAATTCAAAAATATATATACAAATCCAATCAAAATTAATTCGAGGCAGGTAAAAGCATTCTGGAAAACCAACGTCTAGATCGCATAAAATTACCACCGTCATGAATAATTTCAATAAAATTCTCGAGCTTAAATCTGCATGAATCTAGCGACTAAAAATATCCTTTATCGAAGTTGCGAGCTTGAATAAAAACATGCCCAAGGGAACAACCGTTACAATACCAGCTATGCACAGGATAAAGGAAGTTGGCACCTCATCTTCACCCGTGTTGGCTACGATATCCTGCATGTAGGCGCCAGGGCGACTTCTGGTCTCGCGCGCCGGGCGTGAGTAGTCATCATAAAGGAGGTATCCTCCTGTCCTGCTCCGCCAGATCCCCCGCTCAGGGGAATCATCAGTGCCACTCGTACCCGCGGGGATCGGGGCATCGCTTGAGTCTGTGGCAGATGAACTCTGACTCAGTCTGCTGTCTGGAGGAGTTGTCTGGTCCTCAAGCGTGCGTCTGATGTCCCGGGCACGCCGGGCGCTTGGTGGCGTTCTGCTGTCTTCCAGGTTTGATCTCCTGTCTGTAGGCGGCATCTGCCCGTCGGGGCCTGGTCTGTTGAAACTCCTGAGCGTTGCGACGTTGTTGTTGTCGCTATTGTTAGGCGAGTCAGAGTCTGAGTCCGATGACAAGCCACCAAAGATCATGTTCCACAGAGGCATGGTTATTGGCTAGTTTTAGTTTCCATAAAAGACTCTCAAATTTTTCGAGGAAGAGTGATGTCCTCCGAACCTGTAATGAATGTAATCATATCAAGCAACGTTCAAAATTATTCAAATTCGCTGCCCCTCCTTAGTAACGAAGGTTCAAGTGAATTTCTAGGCAATTGCCAACTATCAAACTAATAAAATTTTGTTCCACTAAAAATGGATTTTCACCTCTAGCTAAATATCTATCACCTTTCTATCCTCTATACGAGAGAGGATTAACAAATTGCAGGCCCACAATTTTAAAATTCGCCAGATGCTAGCTGCAAGACCTAATTATCGGAAAACTGCAGCAACTACAAACCTTCAACCAACCAGCATTCAAGCTCATAACCAATCTTTACGATTCCAGTGGCCGAATCTGAACTTCACCAAAACTTATAAGTGACATAACGACGTAGCTTAATAAGCATACATGCCCAGCTTTTTTTTAAAAAGGCCTCACACTCACCATTCCAACAAAAAGGGATATATTAATTTTATTTATTAAAAACAGGGAATGGTTTCATGTCAATGATCAGGGCCCCGACCTTAACGCCTTTTAACCTGGATATCAGACGACAATCTAATTCAACCTGTACGCGGGACAGGGACAGGGAAGAGTAAAGCCTAAGCCATTCTTCTAGATTCCATTACCTACAAATGTCTTTTTCCTCGCTGTTCCAAAAAATATTGTCACGAACCCTGAAGCCTATCGCTGCTTTGCATCTGCCCTGTAAATTGAATAAAAAAACTACACGCTTCAGTAGTGATTATCTGCACCACCACGTACGTACATCGTTGTACGTACGTCCGCACGCAGTGAAATTTTAGGAATTATACGAGTATTCCGTGTTGCAGAGCGTCAGTCAAGATTATTCACTGTTAGGGTACGCACACATTGAAAGCAGGTTGCCAGCGTGCTAGTTACCTGCTCAGGCTGGCGCCTGAAACCATAGAATACAGAAGCCTATTTGTACAGGTTTTCACTGTGAACACTTAGATTATTATCCTATGTTCATTCTTGTGGCAGGTTGGAGCAGGTTGCCCACGCGGGCAAACCTGATTCCACTGTGTGCGTACCCTTATACCGTTACCAGGCGCGTCATTACACATGACTAACCCGTAAGTGTCCTCAACTCTTTAAACTGTTCTTTCTCACTCACCTGACTGATATTGAGTTAAAAACGTTGTGCTTGTTCGGTGTGTGAAGATCAAGGTCGTCAGGTGTGTCGATGTTGCCACAGTTTATCGCTTATGTAACTAATCGCATTCGGGAGTTATTTTGCTCAACGTTTGATTGACACACGTAGAAGACAAATAGTGGATGACAGGTGTTAAAGTTATTAATGCACGCTGGAATCTGCATGCGAATGGATGAACTAACTGCTCAGTGCAGGCATCATGTAACTGAATAAACTAATAGGCTAAAGCAACATGTTACTAAATATAACTGGCTCAATGCAGGCATCATGTAACTGAATAAACTAATAGGCTAAAGCAACATGTTACTGAATATATTAACTGGCTCACTGCAGGCATCGTGTAACTGAATGAACTAATAGGCTAAAGCAACAAGTTACTGAATATATTAACTGGCTCGATGCAGGCAACATTTAACTGGACAAACTCACTGACTCGATGCAGACAGAATTTAATTTTATAAATTAACTGGCTTAATGCAGGCAGCAGGTAACTGGAGAAATTTATTTGCTCAATGCTGTCCGGATATAGAGAGATTCTTTTTTCTTTTTAAATTCTCTCATAACAATGTTTGCTCTTCTGTAATCGTTTTCGATGAATTATTCGAAATCTACAATGAAAGTAATTGTAATATCTATATATGAGATTCATTATCAGTCAGGTTTTTGAATCTTTTAAACAAACTCCGCCATTCAGGACGAGTGATTTTAGCAGAATAACGCGTTAATGTTCAACAATGTGATGTGTTATGTGAATAATTAAGTCAAGCGTCTTGAATACGCGGTGTTTCCCATGACATTCAAGGAACCAATAGTACTGCATTTTCTCAATAATTCGATATTTGAAATTTGTTTACCTTTCCTTCCCTTTCCCATTCAACCTCTTCAATATTTCGTTCTAATTAAAATGTAATTATTTTTAAAGTTTTAAGCACGTGTGTTCACTTGGTTTCAGGCTCCCCAGTATCACGAATACGGGATCATGTATGAACACACGGCAATAAAGTGGCTCTTCGTGTCATGACGTAACTGAAGTGTTTGAAGTTTATGAAACGAATTGATTTTGCTCATGAACTTTTATCAACAAATTTGATGCGAGAAAAATTTAATTTTTACTGTTGATACCGATACCACTTTATTCCCTTTCCAGAAACTGCGTTAATCATGTATGGGAAAACAAATATGAATTTAATAAACAGCTGCCAAAAAAGACGGTCTTGTTGAATTATGGACTTGAGTAGCTTGCGTTTTCGTGGAATTAAGGACCAAAAATTGTTGACATTTGCAAATCCTTTGTATACATTGCGCTGATGAAATTTGAACGATTGTGATTGAACTTCCGTTCTCCAGCAAAAATTAATTATTGGATAATTAAAGATCCATTGGATAACTAAAACTGACTGATAATTTATCCAAAGGGGAAAATATGTGCACGTAAGCCTCTTCAACTAATTTTAAATGGCGTCTTTTCAGTTTCAAAGTTTTCAATGGCACAATTTCAATCATGTTTTTTTTAACAGAGACAACTCCGGAATAATTTCAGACGACCTTGAATGAGCCATTCTTTTTTTAACATTTATTGAATACGACGGCGATTAAGTGTAACATTGAATTTTTCGTGGTATCAACGTACGAGGTTTGAAATTCAACGTTTAGGTTTGTGTCCCACCGGGCAATTCTGAAATTGAGACTCTTTTTTTTTGAGCTTTATTACAGACAATATTGAATGCCCTAAAGCAATCATTCACGTGAAATTAAATCGCTGTTAGGAATTTTCCTCTTTCGCAATAATTTTTGAATACATCCGTAGTTTTCATATCGAAATAATTGTATTCGCCAGATCTCTTATATATTCAACAAGCCTATATACCGCTCAAAATCATTCTATATTAGAGTTAATTGACTTTAGATCAATCCAAGTGAAATTTAAGCAGGACATAAAAAGAAGGAATTGATCACATTCTGTGCACAAAAAAAAGTTAATATTTACCAAGCTTCAGTATTTATGCAGACTTTGTAAACCTCGTCGAATTATAGTGTTAGGTTTTGGGATCATTTTTCTGTCATGTCACCGAGCGCCGAGGTAAGACCAGTTCAAAATCGAGCAACTGTTCATCAACGCTGGCAACGTTCACAAGAACGTCAGAATGGTGAACGATCTCAACATGTAAAACGCCAGTGTCAGTGCTAATGTCTCCCAAGGCTTTTCAATTGATATTATTAAGCATTTTTTTCAGTTTGAAGAGCTCCTATAACACAAGACCTGAACAAGCTATACAGTAGAAACTTGTACTGATCGATTCATATTCGATTGGAGCTTAGTTTTTCATATGCTTCGAAAGATTATTTGGGAAACATCTCAATGCAGGATTAGCGCTTTGGAATACCTTGTTTCAAACGACTCAATTCCATGAAAAAATGTCATTCATTATGTGGAACAAAAAATTTATCTGGATAAACCGGAACATCCAATCAGGAAAATCCTATAAATTTGTTTTTAAAATTATTTCATTGTGGCAGCAACGCTCGTTCGGAGGCCTAAGGAACTCTTGTCATGTATTGCTAATGTGTCGGCAGAAAGGTCTGAGAGAGATCCGCAGAGTTTAGAATATCTGGAGTATATATAAATTAATCATTCAACGAATGGATATTTAGACTTACCAAAAAGTGTTTAATATAATTAACTTTCATATTCATAAATTAATTCGGTCGAAGAAGGCTGTTCGTCATTTATTCGTCTAATTAGTAATCTCGTCTTTTATTGGCCAATTTATTTGTAAATATTCACTTAATTACTCGTGCCCATGCTTGATATTTTAATCTAATAAATGTGCTGTCTGCGAAAATTTCCTTAAAAATGTATAATTTTTTGCCAATTTCGGTCATTATTTCTAAGTTTGTACATCTTCTCTTGTCTGATGGATAGCAGAGGAATTGAATTGTCGCAATATTATGATGTACAGATCATAAAACTGATAAATTGAATGTAATATCAATTAAATAAATGAAATTAAAAACGTAACAAACATTATGATGTACAGATCATAAAACAGGTAAATTGAATGCAATATCAATATAATAAATAAAATTAAAAACGTAACAAATGAAAGTAAACTCCACTATAAAGACTGATTTATTGTTTCGGTACTGTGTATGAATCCGCGTGAATCTCCAGATCTCAAAAGTGTCCCTAAATTTGTTAGCTTAATATTAATTTTTTCTATTTTATAGTACCCCTCTACGCATTTAGCGGAAAGTCTAGAACCTTATTTCTCACAGTTTTTAAATAGATATTTCACTGCAGGCGCATATCGATTATTTATTTTAAACACACTACTGAGCCCCAAAGTCACCTAAATTTTCAGAATCATCATGTGCTGAATGATTCATGATTACTATGCATGCATGTGCTTCAAAATCAGCACAAGCTTTAAAATCTCATTAAGCCTTTAAATCTTACTTTTTTCTTGCTCTAGGTCTACAAGAATTTTCCATCATTTATTCCACTTTCACTGTGATTATGTATAATTATTGTAGAGTTTATATATCCTTACGACTAACTCAGAATCTTTGATAGATGCTATATTGTCTTTTGTGAGAATCTAGCTCACCTATACTGTCCAATCATTCTACATTTCACCTTTTTCCGTCTGTATATGCACGTCAATGTCCAGGAATTCGACAGAAATCATGCATGTCCACTGCCCCAAAGACTTACTTTTTAGTGTTCATGATAAAAACTACTATGTCAAAAGCCTCCCTCGGATTGAAAACTGCAATGCCAATTCACCTCCCCATTTTAATAACTACTGCAACGCCAACAAACCAGGCATCTGACGTTGAAATAACGTAGATTAAACATTTTTTCAACGAAATTATCTGTCATCAACTCCGTTTCCACGTCATTTGCCCTGACGAATTTCGTCCTCGCCGTGCAACTATCTTATGAAGTCCAGCAACTGTGCGAGGCTCAGCTTAATTTGGATGCGCGAGGTCGACGAAGGCGGCGCATCAGCGTGACCTTGGACTACTACGTCCTAAACTCATCATAAGGTCATAAGATGCGCGAGGTCGACCTGAACTCGCGTTAATGAGATGCTGCGTTGCCGAGGACGGAGTGTTTGCCGCAAACAATCTGAATGCCGCCGGAATGATAAATTTTCCGAGATAATGTTGATGTGCGGTGATCTACAGCCGAGAACGTTGCTTTTAAGTACGTTGCCGAGGACGGAGTCCTCGGCAACGTACGTACATCTGCGGATAACAACGTATAACGTTGTTAACCTGCGGATAACAACGTATTTTTTTCATCTGCGAATAACAACGTACATCTGCGGATAACAACGTATAACGTTGTTAACCTGCGGATAACAACGTATTTTTTCATCTGCGGATAACAACGTACATCTGCGGACAACAACGTATAACGTTGTTAACCTGCGGATAACAACGTATTTTTTTCATCTGCGGATAACAACGTACATCTGCGGATAACAACGTATAACTTTTAAGTACGTTGCCGTACTTTTAAAGTACGTTGCCGAGGACGGAATATTTGCCGCAAACAATCTGAATGCCGCCGGAATGATTACCCTAACATAATTTATAGTCGCCCCAGCTTCTGGTAACCCAAATCAGAAGCTGACGCGTCTGTAAATTTTCACTGGGTAATTTTCCGAGTTTTGCATTGCTAAGCTTAGGTGAAACTTCAATGTTTAGCCTCACAATATGTAGCTAATGGTTTACAATCTCACCTTAGAGCTCAGAGACAGAATGAAATGTAGCAGTTTAATCGCGAAAAAGAAAACCATTCTATCAAAAGTACGTCATACCGAGCGCAGAACTTGTCTGAAACAGATTATCCCAACAATAGATTGGTGAATATTTAACAATTTAAAAGGAACATCGCAAAAATAAATTACAAACCCCTGTTTGTTCTTCATTTGTCTTTCTGCTGACAATCCAGGAAAATCAACGACTCGGATACATTTTTTCCGACATAAGTTGAGGAGAACCCACCAGTAATAGTAATAATGACATTAATAATAATAATAATAAAATAA